CTCTCTCTCTCTCTCTCTCTCTCGCTCTCTCTCTCTCTCAAATTATTATGAATTAATTAATTACAATATTTTATTATAGGGTGTGTTTTACATTCTTCTCTCAACCAAATGGCAAATCCGATGACAACTTTAATATTGAGAATATTATGTTAAACAAAGATTTCAAGACTGATGTAATGTTTGTGCGTTTACTTATTGATAATCCAAGATTTCGTATTAAACTTCATGCGAGGGATCAGTTGATAAGAAATACATATAAATCACATTTAAATGAGTACCCAAAGAGTCCCATATATAACGCAACCAAACATTATATAACGTATAACAAGATTGTCATCAATTCATTGCCCAAACCCTACGAAACCGATTGTTTAATATATGAAACAATTGGCTATAAATCGTTAACTGATTGCATGACAAAGTGTCGGATCGGTTTAGATAGGGATCAGTGGCCCGATATATGGCCCGGAAATTACTTGTCATACAATCAGTCGCTGGATATGAAAATGTATGACATTTATTATTTTGCTAAGCAAAATATGAGTATCGATATTATAATGGGCCGTAAGTGTCGGTCACATTGCGGTTTTAGAGACGAGTGCCAGCAAGTGATGTATGAAACTATTTTCAAAACTTTCTCATTCACTTTTCCCCTTAATTACATCATATTGTTTGAGCCCCACACCCCGGCCCTAATCTATACACATTCACCCATGGTACATTTTGAGGAGTTTGTCTCATACATAGCATCCTATGTTAGTCTATGGTTTGGTTTCTCTGTCATAATGTTGTCAAATGTTTTGCACAAATGTTTTAAATTTGTATGTCAGAAATTTGTTGTTTATTTTAACCTAAATTATTCTAATACTATTATAAATAGTCCCACACTTACTATTAATATAAATAATAATATCATTAATCGTCAATTAAATGTTAACAAGTTTTTTCGTAGAGTTAATACAATTACTTAATTTGTTAAATATTAAAATGAATAATTGTTATAATTATAATTATTATATTTATGTATTGCAAAACACACTTAATAATTATTTCATATTATATTTATAAATTGTAATCTAATTTTATATATTTATTTTTAAATTTGCAATTGTAATATATACATGTATTTTAATTAATAAAGTTTGTTATTATTGTTTCAAATGAAACTTGTTAGCTGCTAATTCACTAGTATAGTTAAATCAATATAATTAAACGTGTTCCTAAATTATTTCAATATTGCTAACAATGAACTAATGTGCACAAGTACATTATACCTAATTTTAATCATTTAATATTTAAATATAGCTTAATAGATATCTCATAATTAACAATTGGTAATAATAATTAAAACTGCATGTACTGTACAATAATTGCCTAACTGCCTAATTAATTGAGAACCAATGTACGAACTTGGTCCAACAAATTAGTCTTAATGTACTTATTTGTTGGACCAAGTTTGTTAATCGTTAAGTTAGAAAAGTTAGGAAATTACAATCGCAACTTTAATCATCCATAATGAATAAATCTTATAATCAGCTTAATAACAACCATATAAAGTCATATATGGCTCAATTTGGCGCAAATGATATTGAATTATCACTTTATAAGTACGCAATGTTTTACCGGTTTGATATCAACGGCAAAATAGTGACCCGTAATATATATTATAAACAAAAAATTAAAGTATTTGCCCTAATTATTGTACACGTGTGCAATATTATGCGATTTGCGTTTTACCTATATAAATCAAAGCCAAAACAACACTTTCCCGTTATTTATTTTGATATAATCCAGTATTTTAGCGATAATCCCGATGTGTTGTATTTCTCGGGTAGTCTCGTACTATTACTATCCATTGCCATAATCCTAATCATTAACAATAGTAATCCCAATCACTATAAATGGTTTGACATAATCTCAACACTCAATGGATATATTAGTTATAAAAAGATTGGATTAAATGACGATTATATAACCAAGAGGTTTGACAAAACAATTAAAACATTGTATTTGATGATTAAATACAGCCTTTATATGGCATTAACTGCATTATGGGCAGTGGGCTTGACTTTCATCATGGTCAAATTCTGTTCGCTTTATTTAATTATCTATGGAGTGATTAGTGTATTATTGTTTGAATCATTTTTATCGACATGTTTTCCAACATTTTGGTTCACTATATACTACTACCTAATGGTCTGTCTGTATGTAAAGTACCGTATAATGAGTTATAACAAGTATTTATCGGATTCGACTGTAAGCGGTCACCTGTTTAAGCGGCGCATAGTATATAAAGTAGTTAAAACTCATAATAAATTGTGCATGGACATTGGCCAGCATAATAAATTTTGGTCCAATATTTACCTCGTGTTTTGCTACT